CTCACAAAGGGTAAAAAATTTCTTTTCAAAATATCTCTTATAAAATGTGAAATAAGCAGCTGATTCTCTACTAAAACTATGAAGCTCATAAAAAGCGGCACATCCCAATATTTCTATCAACATAGGATCAGGTATGCAGATGGGATATATCCGCCCACTTCATCGGGAAACTCCCCCAAAGAGGTCACAATTTTCAATAACTATATTTATCATAAATTGTGAAACAAGTTGGAAATTTTGAACCATCTAGATATTTATCTCACCCAGAGATCTGATACGAACTCCATCGGTTCCTTAATCCCAAAAGGTTAAAATTTTGATTATTCGCATGAAATTGAACCTTCTGGTTCTTTATTCCCAAAAGGTTAACATTTTGATGATTCGCATAAAATTGGAAATAAATGTTTGATTTTCATTAAATGTTGAACCTCACGCACATTTCAACATTTCCCAAGAAACCGGGGTCAATATTTAAATAATCATAATGCAATTCAACATTTAATAATAAACGGACATTGGCGGAGGGTATACATGTGTCTGCAAAACCGGCTGATATTTATACCGTACACCACAAGGTGGTCAGGGTATTATGTCTTTGTGCATTTGTTTGTAACAGAGAAAAGGAAACGAGATAGACCCATAGTTCCTTTTGATGATCTGCATAGAATCACATTCTGAGTCGATTTATGCATGTCCGTCCGTCTGTCCGTCTGTCCATGTATTTTTGTAAACAGTTCGCATTTATTGCCCTATCCAGATGAAATTTTGCACAAATCATTTGTTTGGTCCAAGGTCGAACTCTATTAAAATTGGAGATAATCGGTCACAATTTAGATATAGCTCCCATATATATCTTCGTCCGATTTGCCTTTTATTGTGCACCAAACATGTAATAACAGTCCGAATAGTATGGAATTTTGCACGTACGATCAGATTGGACCTGAAAATAAGTATGCCAAATTTGATCGAAATCGGTTCAAATATAGCTATAGCTCCCATATATATTTTTCATCCGATTTGCTATTTTTGTCCTCCGCAACCGTAATATGCACCCTGTAACAACAATATCTGGGGAAATGTATCAAATTCAGCTCAGAAATACCTTTGCTAAATTTTATCGAGATCGGTTCAGATTTGGATATAGCTCCCATATATAACTTCGTCCGATTTACCTCTGATTGTGCACCAAACGTCTAATATTTGCCCAAATTGGATGAAATTTGGCACTTACGACCGAATTGAATCTAGATGCTAGTATGTCAAATTTGGTGAAGATCGGTTCAGATATAGCTATAGCTCCCATATATACTGTTCATCCGATTTGTTATATTTGTTACCCACAACCGTAATATGCACTCCGTAACAACGATATTCAGGGAAATAAATCAAATACATCTCAGAAATATCTTTGTCAAATTGTATCGAGATCGGTTCCGATTTGGATATAGCTCCCATATATATTTTTATCCGATTTCAAATTAATTGAGCACCAAATGGGCAATACAAGCCTGAATTTAAAAGATACAAATGCTTCGGCATATTTAGTTCTTTGAACTTTAAATTATAATTATAATCATAGCGTGTATGTTTGAATTCTCCCATAAAAACTTTTAACTGTTATGCGCAGCTCTACTAAATTAGCAAAGTGGTGTAGGGTATCATAAAGTCGGCCCCGCCCGACTTTAAAACTTTCTTTACTGGTTTTTAACTTGTTTTTACTATATATTTCAATTGGAATCATGTGATATTCCGCAGTTACAGTTTTTAATTTTGAAAGTTTTTAACTCTGAGTACCTATCTGCCATGCAAAAACGGTTAATATTGGGCCACATTGTTGTATAGCCCCCACATAACAGGACCCCCTTATTTTAAGCATTTCGACAATTTTTTGAACATTATCAACAGAATTGTCTGGAAGTTGTAATTTAAAGGTAGTTACTTGTTCCTAACCACCTTGCAATAACATTGTGGTATATCTCGCAAAAGCATTGTGGAATACATTTTTTAAAAAAATGTTTCTATTTGAAATTCGAGTTACATTTATTTCGAATTACAAATAAAATTATTCCAATTACAAATGAAATAGTTCGAATTTCTAATGAAACAATTAAAATTAAAACAAGTAAGCAAAGGCTATGGTCGTGCGGGGCTGACCATGTGATATCCTACAACACTACAATATGATCGAAGTACCCTTATATCCAAATCCATTTTGGAAGATTTCGTTTTTGAAATAATGCCAAAGAGCCACGTCCAGAGATTACCCTTAGTTTTTTGGCCCGGAGAATTTGGCAAAAGTTGTGAAAGTTGTGGTCTATTTCACAGCTAAATGTAATCCAATGGACATCCAAAATGAAAAAGACTTCTTCCTTGTCCTTAACTCTCATCCCATGCGAAATTCCGTGTCGATTAGTTTCAATTGTGGCCTATAGAGCGACTACAAAATTAGAAAAAATTAAATTTTTTTTAGTCCATTTGCACCTCTAAATCTACATCTTAAGAACAATAGGCTTTAATTCTGACCCCAACCCTACCCCCATGCAAAATTTCTTGAGGATCGGACGATAATTGCGATAAGTATATAATATCCTCAAAACGTAGTGTTGGGGAGTGTAAAAATTTAGAAAATTTACAATTCAAAATTGTAAGTCAAATTGAAAAAATCGCATGCGATAAAATATATGGCAAGAATTGAAAAAAATGGAACAAAAAATATTCACTTTTTATTGGCATATTTTTCCGCGATTTTCTTAGATTTTCTGCTTTTCTAGAAAAAGACCATTCCGAATTGATGGGAATTGTGAAAATCGGCCCAGCGGTTCTTGATTTATAAGCAGAATAAATAAGATCAATTCTTTTACATATATATCGTAACTATTTTGCTATATATCCCATTTCTTGGCTATAAGCATCACTGTAAGGGACAGAAGTGATCTTTTAATGTATTTGTCATTTGGCTGGGCTTGAAAAAAAATACACGGCTTAGTGGAAATTTGCCTATTTTCTTACATAAAAGTTAGGGTCTATCCTACCTGCTAATTATTGTCCGATGGCCGCCCAAATTGGTAGGTTTCTGCCCACTCCTAAACTCTAACTCCATATACATCTAACATCTATAGAGCAACTGCAAAATCAGGAATTTTTTCAGTTTTTGGTCCATTTCAACCCCTAAATATTACGCGATCATCTCCAAAAGAAATAGGGTTCTATACTGGCCCACCTCCATTCTCAATTTCGTGAAGATCAGGCCATAATTGCGACCTGTAGAGTGATTACAAATTAACATGGACAAACGGACGGACGGGCATACATAGCTAGATCGACTCAGCTCGGCGAGATAGGAAAATCCATATATACTTTCCTATGTGGGAAACCAATATTTCGAGGTGTTACATAATTTTTGGCCCATTCAAAGTTATAATACCTCCAACACATAGTGTTGTAGGGTATAAATTGAATAATTCGAAGAGTAAATGAAATAATCATATTTCTAATGGTAACAATTCGAATTACAAACTAACGAATTTGAATTATAAATAAAATAATTCGTATAACAAATGGAACTTCTGGAGCTTCTATAGGAATTATTAATTTACAATTAACATGTTTCGAATTAAAAAAAATATAATTCTCGAATTACAAATGAGATGACGATTTACTGGTAAAAAATTTCGAATTTCATTGGTCCGTTGAAATGTTTGATTAATGAATACTTTTCTATAGAGTAAAGGTTAAGTTAAGGTATATAAAATTCGGTTCGAGATCCCTTTGTTTTCTATTTTTTTGGGGGGGGACGCTAAAACGCTACATTTCCCCCAAAAACAGAAGGAAACAATAAATATCACCATATATAGAGGTATGTAAAGGCATTCATGGCTAAATACATGGTTGTATGTATGAGCAATGTAATGTGGATATGTGTGTGTGTATGTGTGGGATTGTATTGAGTTTTTTTTTTTTTTTTTTTCGTGAGGGTATATGTTTGGGGCATACCATTCATTTGCTCATTATTGTTGTTGCTGCTGCCGCTGCTCGCTGCTGTCATTTAAAGGACAGTGTCAGTTGCACTTTTGTTATGATTGCCACTGTTGTTGTTGTTGTTGTCGTTGCTGTTATCGTCATGTTTTTTTTTCGGTGTATGGCATTCTTTTCGTTGTTGTTCCTGTTGTTGCATTGCAATTAACTTTGGTTCATTTTAAAATGTTTTGTGTGAGCCACACCATTATTCTTCTCTTTCCATTAATTTTGTTATTATTTTTTACCAATTTTTATTTTTGTCCATTTTTTATGTCGTTTTTTTGCATTTGCGCAATTAAAAGTTCTCTTTTTGTCTTCCATAGATATGTGTATGTGTGCATATGTATATATGTATGTGTGTATGTACAAAAACAGTACATCAAGGGGTTTTGGTGATTATTTTATGTTTCCCATTTACGTACGTACCTCTGTAGCCGTTACAGGCTGCAGTCAAGTGCATCTACCCCTACTACCTCCTACCGAATCCCTGGGGACTGAGAGGGAAGAGGACCTCATCAAAAGTTTTTTTTTTGCTTTTTTTCTGAATTTGGGGGATTATGGGGGATTTTCATTTCATAGAAATTTCACATTAATTGCAAATTACACACGAAATACATGAATCCATTGGAAGTTTTGACATGTCAATATCTGTGTGTGAATGGATAGCAGTCGACGAAATTGGTTGCACTTTCATAAAATGTATCCAAATTGTTTTCTTCAAAGCGAGGGTTTTGTTGAAAGAGTGGAGAGGGGTTGGGGATATGTTTTTGGACTCTAATGGATGCTGTAAACACAAAGAATTGAATAGGGGGAGCTCCAATACAAATTTCTAATTTAAATATTTGAAGTTTCAATTTATTGTTTGTTAATATTGAATTTCAGCCTTAAGAAAATTTATAAAAACCTGCTAACTTCTTTTAGCCGGCATATCCAATGCATTTTCAACTCCTCACCTAGAAAGCTTCTGCAATGTCTTTACTTACCTAACGCTCTTCAAGTCACCACTTATTGATGAGTTTGGAGACGGTTTGGAACTTAAATCTAAAGGTTGTTCACCGGTGGCATCACTGGGACTGGGTGAATCCTTTAGAGAAGGACTAATAGCGGCGGCTGATGTATCTGAGGTAGTTGGTGTAACCGAATCTGGTTGAGATTGTTGCTGTTGTTGATTCATCCAATTTAAATCTGAAAGGAAAATGAAAAATTTGTATTAAAATATATATTCAGAGGTCAAACATTTATGCAACAAACAATTTGAAAATATTGCATAACCATGTAATGTCTATATTAAAATTTTAGTCTACTAGATTTGAAATTAGTTTTAGTTTTGATTCAAATCTCAGTTAAATGTAATGAGCTGTTCTTTTCTTTCCTTTTCATAATAGATCCTTGGCGGGGTCATCTAAAACAATAAGCCATTTGCCGAAAACAATAAGCTTTGATGGTATATGTTTCACATGAACATCAAGAGAGTAACTCTCCCTCTCTCGGTAAACATTGTGTGTGCAAAAACCTACTGTCTGTCTGCAAAGCAAATTTGTTGTTGTTGCTAAAAAAGGTAGCAGAGTTGATGGCGAGTTTACTGATCGATGGTGAGTTTTATACACAAAACTATGATTGTGTGTGAGGTGTGGTGTATTGCCCATAGACGGTGTGTTTGGTTAGCGCTTCCCTAAATAAGCTTGCAAAAAATGGACATGCTTTAAGAATTTTTGAATAGCATGAAAGGGCTCAATATCAATATTTAAATAAATCAATATTTAAATAAATCAATATTTAAATAAATCAATATTTAAATAATGTAAATAAGTTTTAAACAATTAAAAAAAGCTGTAAGTTCGGTCGGACCGATCTTTGAATACTCTCCACCATATGGAACGATTTTCGGATATAGCCGTTATATTAGGGTCTGTATGACGACGTGGACCTGCACAGGCTACTTTTGTCATAAACCATTACAATATGAAATTGCGAAAATTGAATAAAAAAATTCGTTGAATAATGTAGCTAAAATCATTAAAATTCCGAATATAGGGAGGGGTACCGTTATACGAAGACGTGAACCTGCACAGACAATTTTCTGTCATAGGCTGTAGCATACACTAGGAACTTCAAGCACCAAATTTGAAACAATTCCGATGAATAATGTCGCTAAAATTATCAAAAATACCGAATATCGGGAGGTACTGTTATATGGGGGCCATATGAAGACGCGAACTTGCACAGACATTTCTCTGTCATAGGCTGTAGCATCCGTTACAAACTTCAAATACCAAATTTGAAACATTCCCGGTGAATAATGTCGCTTAAATCACCAAAATACCGAAAAAGGGAGGTGCCATTACCAAAACGTGGATCTACATCACCCATTTTCAGTGCCAAAAGTCCTGCAGACATTATATACATTTCAGTAAAATTTTATCAACCTACTTCATTTCGTTCGGTAGCTAGAGAGATTTCCACAGGCGGACAGACGGATAGACTATTTGAAATTTTAACTTGGACACAAAAGAACAGTTGTAGCTATTATTTCCTGCAAGCAACTGTATTTTAATGGTCAAAAGTCGATAATATAAAAAATTCGGCATATACGATATTGCTCTGCCGTACGCATCCAGTTTGACTTCTAGACCATGAAAACAATGTTTTCATAGTAGTATGTTCAGAGAAATTGTAGCCTGGAACAATTGCAACAAACGAAAGTAAGTAAGTTTGCAATAGTTTAGGAGATATGAACCCAAGAAAAATTTAATTTTTTCCAAAAAAAAAAAAATTGAAATTTGAATATTTTCGCTTTTTTGACCATGAAAACGATGTTGTTTGTAAATAATATCTTCAGAGAAGTTGTATCTCAAATCAAAGGAGTACGATTATATGTGGGCTATACGAAGGCCTGTACCTTTATGGCCACTTTCATGTTACGGGCTGTAGTACATATTAGGAACTTCAAATACGAAATTTCAAACAAATATTGTGACTAAAATCGTAAAAATTCTGAATATAGGGAGGTACTGATATATGGGGCCTATACGAAGATCTGGACCTGCATAGAAAATTTTCCGTGTGAAATTTGAAACAATTCCGGTGAAAAATGTTGTCAAAATCATCAAAATACTGAATAAAGGGATGAATCGTTATATGGGGGATATGCGAAGGCATGGACCTGCGCACTCAATTTTTTGTCATAGGCTGTAGTACCCATTACGAACACTAAATACGAAATTCGAAACAATTCCGTTGAATAATGTTTATCATGGACCTAATTAGACAATTCTCTCCCAGGATGTAAAGTACTTCGAAAGAACTTCTTGTGTGGATTTTCAGACAATTTCATTTATCTAAAATAATCAAAATAACCATTTAGTTACCTTTGGATACCATGAATAGACTTCAAACATTATTTGGATAACGTTCGATTTGGATAAGTTTTAAAATTTTCAAATTTAATTTTCCAGCTTAATGTCACTACTTACTTGGTAATATATTTTGAATGGCTGCAAACTGGGCTGCCATCGAATCCATTGAAGCCATTTTTTGTGTTAGTAATTTGCTTAGGGTCAGGCTATTGCTACCAGTCATAGAATTTGCGCCAGTCATTAATGCGACGTTACCATTTGTACTGACTGTGGGCAATTTAGAGGACTCATTCGAATCGCTGTCACAGTCAAGCTGAAAAAATCCCAAAAAAAAGACAAAGCATAAAGAGATCGTATCTTTTCTGATATCTTCGGTGGTACACCAAAAACTTACTCTCTTTATGTGGTCCGTTTCAGACCCAGTTGGGCCAGATTCGGCCACTAGTTCACCTTTGGAGTTCAGTGTGAGTAATTTGCCGTTAACGCAGAAATAACACTTTTCATTCGGTTTCCAATCGATGGGTTCGGGAGGTGGCGGTGATGGCGATGGCGATGTTGTTTGTTGTGATGATGGTGTTTTGCGATTCTCAACACTTTCGGTATTATTATCCTTTGGATTGGTGATGTTAGTTTTAGTGTTGTTGTGTGATGAATTGCTGTTGGTGTTGTTGTGGCTCTGATTAGAAATCTCTACACCCTGAATTTGTGATGCTATAGAATGAATGGGATTTGTAGATTTTCAAATATTTTTTTTGTTTGTTTTTAAGTCTTTTAAGTCTCACCTGTATCTAAATTATTTTCTTGTGATTCTAATTGTATAGTATTATCCTTTTCTTCCTGTTTAATGCTATTGTGATGTTTATTCTGCTGTTGCTGATTGATTTCTTGGCGGTGGTTATCTTCGAGGTTACAATTGTTGTTGTTGTTATTGACTGCAGTTGATGTTTTGTGAATTTCCAGTGTCTCAATATCCAGCTTCAGCTTATCCAGCTCTTTCTTCAGTTCGATATTGCTGTCTCCGATTGTTGCGACAAATTGGTCGGAATTTAAGTGGGTTCGCATTAATGTATCTTGATATTGCTTCCATTTCCTGCGCCCCATTAACTCCTCAGCGACCCGTTCTAAGCCTGGAAAATGAAAGGAATATTTATTCAAATATTTCGTTGTACTAATTTGATAAGAAATGTGTCCTTTCTGATCTTAATATATTTGTTTAAAACGAGTACATTTATATGGTCGCCATAACGTTCAATGAGTGGCAGAACCCAATTGAAATTGAATTGAGCAACTGACACCGACCTTATAGTATAATTGGACAAGAATAAGAAACATTTTTTCTAGATTTTCATTAGAAATGTGGCTAATAACTTTGATATACATAGTCTAGTATTATATGAAGGATATTCTGAAACCTGAACCCCGATTGATTAGGTGTATGTCGAAATTAAAAATTTCGAACTTTAAAAAAATAAAGTTGTAAAGAAAGGTCAAAAATCGGGCGGCCTGATTATGTGATACCCTGTACCACTGCGCATATTATCTGAATATCTGAACCGATCTCGATGAAATTTAAAAGATATATATTTGAGCTCCATAAGTTATCTGGTATAAAAGATCATTCTTGTATAGTGCATATTACGCATGTGAGAAAACCCCAAATCGGATAAAACATATATGTGGGAGCTACATGGACATATTTGAACCGATTTTCCCCAAAGTACCAAGTACTTGCTTCTAGACTGGATTCGGTCGGAATTGCCACAATTCACTCCATTTTTATACCTTCCACCTTGGAAAGGAGGGTAAATTAACTTTGTCATTCCGTTTGTAACATCCTTAAATATTCGTCTTAGACCCCATAAAGTATATATATTCATAATCAGCATAAAATTCTAAGTCGATTTAACGATGTCCGTCTGTCTGTCTGTCCGTCTGTCTGTCTGTCTGTTGAAATCACGATACAGCCCACAATATTTGACGTAGAGCGCCAAAATTTAGCTGAGCTATTTGCATTGTGTCTAGGATGGTTGGTATTGAAAATGATATTGAAAATGGATATTGAAATGATATATCGGTCCACGTTCTGGTATAGTCCCCATATAACGGTACCTCCCGATATTCGGTATTTTGATGATTTATGCCACATTTTTTCACGGATTTCTCTGGAAATTGGTATTTGTAGGTCATAACGGGTCCCTGAGCGTATGGCAAAACATTGCATGTATAGGTCCACGTTGTGGTATAGCCCCCATATAACGGTACTCCCGGTATTCGGTATTTTGATGGTTTTTGCCACATTTTTTCACTGATTTGTCTAAAAATTATTACATGTGGGTCATAATGGGTCCTAGTTCGTGTGGCGAAACATTGTAATTATAGGTCCACGTTTTGGTGTAGCCCGCATATAACGGTACCTCCCGATATTCGGCATTTTAATGGTTTTTGCCACATTTCTTCTAACGTTTCTTTTACCCTAAGGTGGAGGGTATTAAAAGTTTGGCCCGGCCGAACTTAATGTTTTGTTACTTGTTATTTTTAAATTTTATTGAATGAAAGCAAAAAATGTCGGAAATAGCATCATATTCTAAAATAAGTTTAGATTTGTTTGAATTGGTCACCTTTTGGCACGAATTATGGCCTTCGAACGGCCAATGAAACCGTCACATGCAGCCCGAATGTTGCTCTGCGGTATTTTGGCCCATTCCAGGCAAAGCGCTCGTCTGCGGTGATCGACACTTTGGTATTTTTTTGATGCCAACATTGCTTTCCAAAATACTCCAGACGCACTCGGATTGGTATCCGGAGATTTGGGTGGCCATTGTGCGCTGGAATTGAAGAGAGCAACCTCATTTTGTAACCATTCTTGAGTGGCGCGTGCTGAGTGCGATGGTGCTGAGTCCTGTTGTAATGTCCAAGGTCTGCGGCCAAAATGTTTGCGTGGCCAAGGCTTTAATACACCCTCCAGAATATTTTCGCGATAATATTCGGCATTTATTCTGATGCCACGGTCGATTAATACGAGCGGAGAGCGACCATTGGCTGTTATGGCGGCAAACACCATTACCATTACCGGCGCTTGATTTCTGGTGGCCAACCGAAGGTGCACATTTTCAGCTGATCTCTTTGGCAAGTAAACCCGATCATTTTGTTTGTTTACAAACTGCTGGAAAACAAATGTTTTCTCGTCGAAGAAAACCAAATTCGGCAGTTCACCACTTTCGGCCATGCGAAGCAACTCTTTAGTTCTTTTGAGTCTATTTTCTTTTTGTTGCGGTGTAAGTTCTTGCACTTTTTGGAATTTCAATGGCACATTTTTCAATATTTGCCGAATGGAATATTGCGATATGTTCAGCTTACGAGTCATTTTTCTGCCACTGCGACGCGGGTTAGTTTGTCATTCCGTTTGTAACACTCCGAAATATATATTTTAGACCCTACAAAGTATATATTTTCTTGATCAGCATAAAATTCTATGTCGATTTAGCGATGTCCGTCCGTTTGTCCCTCTATCTGTCTGCCCGCCTGTGGAAATTACTCTAGCTTCCGAACGAAATTGATAAAATTTTACTCAAATGTATGCAGTTCCATGTCGTCGTATAGACCCTAATATAACAGCTACATTCGGTATTTTTATACTCCACCTTGGAAAGGAGGGTATATTAACTTTGTCATTCCGTTTGTAACATCCTTAAATATTCGTCGTAGACTCCATAAAGTATATATATTCATAATAAGCATAAAATTCTAATTCGATTTAACGATGTCCGTCTGTCTGTCCGTCTGTCTATCTGTCTGTTGAAATCACGATACAGCCCACATTATTTGACGTAGAGCGCCAAAATTTAGCAGAGCAATTGGTATTGTGTCTAGGATGTTTGGTATTGAAAATGAGATATATCGGTCCACGTTCTGGTATAGTCCCCATATAACGGTACCTTCCGATATTCGGTATTTTGATGATTTATGCCACACTTTTTCACGGATTTGTCTGAAAATTGGTATTTGTAGGTGATAACGGGTCCCTGAGCGTGTGGCAAAACATTGCATGTATAGGCCCACGTTTTGGTATAGCCCCCTATAATCGTACCTCCCGATATTCGATAATTTGATTATTTTTGCCACATTTTTTCACATATTTCTCTGAAAATTGGTATTTGTAAGTCATAATGGGTTCCAGCTTCGGTGGCGAAACATTGCATGTATGGGTCCATGATTTGGTATGGCCCCCATATAACGGTACCTCCCGATATTCGGTATTTTGATGGTTTTTCCCACATTTTTTCACTGATTTGTCTAAAAATTGGTATTTGTGAGTCATAATGGGTTCTAGTTCGTGTGGCGAAACATTGTATGTATAGGACCACGTTTTGGTAAAGTCCCCATATAATGGTATCTCCCAATATTCGGTAATTTGATGATTTTTGACACATTTTTTCGCGAATTTCACTGAAAATTTAGTAGTTGTAGATCATAATGGGTCCCACTTCGTGTGGCGAGTCATTGTAATTATAGGTCCACGTTTTGGTATAGCCCCCATATAACGGTACCTCCCAATATTCGGTAATTTGATGATTTTAGCCACATTTTTTCACGTATTTCTCTGAAAATTTGTATTTGTAGGTCATAATGGGTTCAAGCTCCGTTGGCGGAACCTTGCAGGTGTAGGTCAACAATTTGGTATAGCACCCATATAACGGTACCTCCCGATATTCGGTATTTGGATGTTTTTTGCCACATTTTTCCACTGATTTGTCTAAATATTGGTATTTGTGGGTCATAATGGGTCCTAGTTTGTGTGGCGAAACATTGTATGTATAGGTCCACGTTTTGGTATAGTCTCCATATAACAGTACCTCCCAATATTCGGTATTTTGATGATTTTTGACACATGTCTGCACGGATATGTCTAAAAATTGGTAGTTGTAGATCATAATGGGTCCCAGTTCGTGTGGCGAGACATTGTAATTATAGGTCCACGTTTTGGTATAGCCCCCATATAACGGTACCTCCCAATATTCGGCTTTTAATGGTTTTTGCCACGTTTCTTCTAATGTTTGCTTTACCCTAAGGTGGAGGGTATTAAAAGTTTGGCCCGGCCGAACTTAATGTTTTTTTACTTGTTAAGATTTTAACAGATTTTATTTTTTTTTTTTTTGGAAAGTGCTAAATTCGTTCCAAGTGGTGGAAGGTATTCAAAGTTCGGGCTGGACGAACTTACAGCGTTTTTACTTGTTATATCTAATTAAACTATTCTAAACGAGTAGGATTTGAAAGTTGGATTTAGAAATCGAGTCGATTAAAAATGACTAGTCTTAATGGACTTTAAGACTTTGGTTTTGTTGCCCTTTTAAGTCTAACTGTGTTGCGTATGATTAACACATTTAAAATAGAATAAATGTTAATCATACCACACTATGAATATATGTATTTATTTAGTCTATGAATATTGTATTTATTTGCTCGTCACCCTAATACACCCACACGCATGTGGACGAAATTTGTAAATTTTAAATTCAACTTTCTAAATAAACAATATCAACAAAAAGGCCATGAAGTAATAGAGGAAGAGGAAAAAACTCTGCGACCGGAAGCCTAAACTGCCAACTAAAAATGTGAAAAAAAACTAACAAACAACAGCAACAAAACTGCTGCAAAACTAGTTACGAAGCAGTCGGAGTCGAGTAGTAGAAGCTGATGTGAACAACGTGTTTGAAAACAAAAATGCTGGTTGGCAACACACATCACACGTCAGTCTAACTTGATGATGATGACGACGATGAGGATGGCCACTGAGAGAACACACAGGTTGGTTTTTAAATGAAAGCCAAGAACAGCGACAACAAAACTAAGAACTGCAACAACAACAATATGTGACTCCTTTTGGCTTAATTGAGCAGTTGGTTGGATTGGTTGGAATGGTTGGTGCGTTTTGGTTCTGCTCCCATCTCCAAAATCCATATCTCAACTAAAAAGCAAACATTTTGAGATAAACACACATACAGTGGTGGCCATATCATATGCAACTAAGATTCATCTACGTTAAAAGGCTATATAAATTTGTAAATTTCACAACGAAGTATATAAAGGTGGGTTAATTATAGTCAATACGTTCTTACGATTTCAAATT